TCCTGCCTCCCGCACACGCTCCAGCGGGCAGCAGCAGGTCCCCGCGACGAGCACCCACAAACTCAGCAGTAACACTGCCCTCACCCCCGCTCCTTCCGGTGCCTCCAGGACATCCGTGCCCTCTCTCCTGTGCCGACGGGGCCCAGCTCCCAGCGCTCACCGAGCTCCTGGTGACCATCGTGCCCGGGAGCCCACACTGCGCTACTGTCGCTGTGTCACACGGGAAGGTCTTGGCGAAGCAGCGTTTCCTCGGTGAATTACAGAAACGACCTCCGCAGTCCGGCAGGCGAACATTCTCGCGTTTTCTCTGCGGCAGGCGCTGAGGCCCCGCTGAGCCGAGGGGCTCTCCCTGCGCCCTTGTCACTGCTGAGACGGCCGAGTGAGAGCCTGCGGGGCTCACGGGGAACCGCGGCGGGCACCCCTCTCTTTACTGAGACCCTGCTCCAGGCTTGAACTCACGTCTCCTCTGTCTTGCCCAGTCCGGGGCCTTTGCTGACTTTCCTGTGGCCGGTGACACTTTACCCGTCTCTCCCCTGGCCTTCGTGACGCTGGCTTTCCGTGCGGCCTCGGCGGGAACAGTGCCCGGCCTGGCCTTGTCGGCGTGATTTTCCCTCTCCTGGCCCGCGGCCCTTGGCCTTCTCTCTCCTTCTACCCGAGGGTCATTTACTCTCCTGAGAGGCCGCCCCCTCGCATGGTCCCACGGCCTCGACGCCGGTGCCCACACGCCTGGACCACGAGGCCTGCGCGCTCACCTGCTTTTCCGTTGCATCTCCCCCAACTGCCCACCGGACTCTCACACGGAATTCCAAGGCCACCCGGCTGACCGCTCTCACCCTTCCTGCCAGAGGCGCTGGCAGCCTGGCGGGACCCTGCTGCCGATTCATCGTCCCCAATGATGCTCATTCCCCGGCCTTCACCTGAGGCTCTTCCTTAACCCCACCTGCACCAGGGGACTCACCTGGACTCCCCCAAAGTGCTCTCGGGGAGACCCTGGGCGGCGAGGTCAGCGCATCCACACCGACCCCCCTCCCCATCTCAGCGCCTATGCAAACAGCCCCCCATCCCAAGGCCTCTTCTAGGCCATGGCCTTGGTTTTCTTAGTGACGGTGCTCCCACCAGGGCCCCTGCTGATTTCTCAGTCCTTCCTCCTTCTCCATTTTCTATACTTGCCTCCTCTAGAGAGCTAGAGGTCCCTCCGTAGCCTTTCCTGAAGTTACCCATTTCCTCTCCTATAGCTGGGTCTCTGGATCCTGACATCAGGGCCAGACCTCCCATCAGCCAGTCCCTTGGTCACAGACACAAGCAAGCCTCCGTCCTCAGCCAGCGTGATGAGCACTGTGGACAGAGCCCATCCCCAAGGAGCTCCCACGGATGGCGGGAAACTGACAGCAACACAGGAGCAGTGGACCCGATAACTCCAGCTACTAAATGTGGCAGAGGATGATGGACGGAAGGACGCCAGCCAAGGAGGCCAGGGCGTGGCTCTGGGGGGGGGGGGTGTCTCGGGAGCAGCATCCCAGGCAGAGCCAGCTCTGGTCCCGGGGAGGAGGGGACACCTGCCTTTCTCGCCCAGTCAGGACAACACACACCTCTGGACAGACACAGACCTGACTCCCTGAGGGCACGAGAGCCAACACTAGGAGGCCGGTGCAGGGGGCGAGTCCGGGTTCTTTTCCTCCCACACCCCCAGCTCAGGACCCAGGGCGTCCTCATTCTGGGGCTGTGCCGTGGATGGGGCAGAGAAAAGACCAGGCAGGCGGCCCCTGCAGCACAGGGAAGGTGGGGGAAACCCTGTTTATGTCTCTTTTTACTCTCCAGGCCCCGAGCCAGGGCAAGCCCAGCTCTCCTGGTGCCCAAACCAGGACCTACGACCGAAATTCTCTCTCCAACCAGAGGGATGGGAGACGCAGTCCCGCGGTTCCCACGGCGGGAGGGATCCACAGACTGCTTCCTCCCCGCCTGCTGATTCGGACAGGACGCGCAGCAGGCCTATCGCTTCACCGCTTCTGATACTCACACCACTGCGGACTGGGCGGCGGCTGTCAGACGGGGCGGGCGGGTGTGCTCACACAGGGCGACTGGGAGGAGCGGGTGGGAGAAGGGAAACGGCGATGGCGCCCAGCGCTCCGATTAGTGTTCACACACCCGAATGTGAAAGGGTTTGCGTCTGAAGCCAACAGACGTCTTCCTCTCCCCACAACATGACGAAGCCTTAGGGTTTCCGAGTCCTGCTTCCTGGCGCTGCAGGTGGGAAGGGACGGCTCGGAGGGCAGAGGGCCCCAGAGGGCAGGTGGCGTCCCGAAAGGGGTGGGCGGCCCGGCTGGGGAGGCGAGAGGGTGAGGAGGTGAGAGGGTGGGGTCTCCAGGCGGAGAAAGCGGCCCCTCCGACAGGCACCCTGGGCTCCCCCTCGCCCTGCCACCCGCCGTCCGGGCAAGTCGCTAACTGGTCTTCGGCCCCAATTCCTTCCCCTGGAGTCAGACAGCAATGCCCGGCGGGTGGCTGGGGAGCACAGGGCCGTCCTCCTGAAGCGCAGGCACAGGCCTGGCTGGGGGGGTCGGGGAGGACTCGGCTTCCTAGAGCAGCACCTTGGTGGGCGTCTAGGACCCACGCCGGGTGCCCCTGGACTCCGGCTTCTCCTTCATGTCCATCCCCTGCTCTGGGGCTGCTCCAGGCTCTTCCCACAGCACAATGTCACCCCCAGTCCACGACACAAACCCTCTCCTGCCACCAACAGACTCCTCACCCTGGCACTCCAGCCCCTTCACCACTGCCCTGGTCTCCAGTCCTCCCCCACACTCCCTGCCATGCCCCCCGCCCCTGCCTCCTCCCCTACACGCC